CTTGTCCCAGCTCCCGCCAACCTAGCGGTTCGAAAGCATGCAAATGCAAGTAGATAAATAGGGACCACCTCGGTGGGAAGGTAACAGCGTTACATGTCTAAGTCGCACTGGCCATGTGACCATGGAAGATTGTCTTTGGACAAAACGCTGGCTCTATGGCTTGGAAACTGGGATGAGCACCACCCCCTAGAGTCGAACACGACTGGACAAAAATTGTCAAGGGGAACCTTTACCTTTACCTTACCAGGGGAAAAATAGAAAAAAAATTATTCCCCACCCCCTACACCACTAAAAGCCTTTTCTTGCTTCCCCCCTCCCTTATAACTGCCCCTATTTCTCCTTCCCTTTTTAAAATTATTGAGTCCTTATTGCCAACATGCGCTGGATTATGGAGAAAGCCAGAGAGTTCCAGAAAAACATCTACTTCTGCTTCATTGACTATGCAAAAGCCTTTGGCTGTGTGGACCACAGCAAACTATGGCAAGTTCTAAAAGAAATGGGAGTGCCTGACCACCTTGTCTATCTCCTGAGAAACCTATATGTGGGACAGGAAGCAACAGTTAGAACTGGATATGGAACAACTGATTGGTTCAAAATTGGGAAAGGAGTACAACAAGGCTGTATATTGTTCCCCAGCTTATTTAACTTATATCCAGAATACATCATGCGGAAGGCTGGACTGGAGGAATCCCAAGCTGGAATTAAGATTGCAGGAAGAAATATCAACAACCTCCGATATGCAGATGATACCACTCTGATGGCGGAAAGTGAGGAGGAACTAAAGAACCTTGTAATGAGGGTGAAAGAGGAGAGTGCAAAAAACGGTCTGAAACTCAACATCAAAAAACTAAGCTCATGGCCACTGGTGCCATCACCTCCTGGCAAATAGAAGGGGAAGATATGGAGGTAATTATAGATTTTACTTTCTTGGGCTCCGTGATCACTGCAGATGGTGACAGCAGCCCCGAAATTAAAAGATCCCTGCTTCTTGGGAGGAAAGCAATGAGAAACCTCAACAGCATCTTAAAAAGCAGAGACATCACCTTGCCAACAAAAGTCTGAATAGTCAAAGCTAGGGCTTTTCCTGTAGTGATGTACGGAAGTGAGAGCTGGACGATAAAGAAAGCTGACTGCCGAAGAATTGATGCTTTTGAATTGTGGTGCTGGAGGAGACTGTTAAGACTCCCCTGGACTGCAAGGAGAACAAACCTATCCATTCTAAAGGAAATCAACCTTGAGTGCTCACTGGAAGGACAGATCCTGAAGCTGAGGCTCCAATACTTTGGCCATCTCATGAGAAGAGAAGACTCCCTGGAAAAGACCCTGATGTTAGGAAAGTGTGAAGGCAGGAGGAGAAGGGGATGACAGAGGATAAGATGGTTGGATGGTGTCATCGAAGTGACCAACATGAATTTGACCCAACTCTGGGAGACAGTGGAAGACAGGAGGGCCTGGTGTGCTCTGGTCCATGGGGTCACGAAGAGTCAGACACGACTAAACAACAACCTGTCTCCTCCAAAAAATGTATTTCAAGTGTAAAATTAGCCCTTACCTTTCATTACTTTAGCCTTTCTGGTGCCTCTGTGCCTGCAGGAATAACCTTCATAATCATGTTAAGCTTAGATGTCACATCCCGAAGAGTCAGACACGACTAAACAACAACCTGTCTCCTCCAAAAAATGTATTTCAAGTGTAAAATTAGCCCTTACCTTTCATTACTTTAGCCTTTCTGGTGCCTCTGTGCCTGCAGGAATAACCTTCATAATCATGTTAAGCTTAGATGTCACATCCCTCAGTTGTTCCTCCAGTTCTATTGTGTATCTGGAAAGTCTGCAAGGGAAGGAAAGGAAAAAGACAGGTTGCTTAACTGTAACTGTAGTTCTTTGACTGGTCTTCTGTGAATCCACATGTGTTCTTTTTTTGCACCGCTGTGAACGTGACCTTGGAACTTTCCAGAAACGAAGAGAAGTGTTACGACATGCCTTCTCTGCTGCACAGGCTCCCCACCCTGTGTCAGACTTTCAGTTCCCCTAGTCCACTGCCAGTTAGAACAGAGGAGTTGCATGGCTGACTGAGGGGAGGCTGGATGGAGTATGTGAACTGCGACAGAAATTAAGGCATCAACAGGTAGTTTCTTTCTCTATCCCATGTCCACTACTTTTTAGGTTACTTGCTTTCATGTCTTCTAAGCACCATTTGTTCCTTCTGTGCTCTTCAACATGGCATCTGATTTAAGGTCATAGCAAGGTCAACTATAACAGCTGTGCAGTAAAAGTTAATTTAACTGTCGTCACAGTTTACACTACAGCAAAGATTACTACCCCCAGAAATAACTGCACCTCTTCTTTCTATGCTTTTGAGACCCAAACTGAAGTGAAGGATCCACATCTCAGTACAGTCACTGAAATGCTGATGGGTCATTTAAATGTTTTTTCTACACAGCATGATAAGCGGAGGGTTTTTCAAAGAGAGACCCAATTTTCTATAGTATAGTATTCCCTTAATCAAACCATATCAGTTAGGTTGATATGAGTTTGACCTGTCGTCTCTGTTAACGGAGTATTGAACTTGAAGCAAGCCTCAAATGATGATGGTTTAAAAAATAAAACCCATCATATCTTTTCTCAGTCGTTTTCTTTTAGCTCTCCACTGAGTTACTCACAACAAGTTAGTTCCTAAAAGGCAGAGATGTGAAAAGGTACTTTTTTGGACTACAGGTTCCAGAATATCCTAGCCAGCATAGCCAGTTGCAACACTGGTTTTGGCATTCTCGGAACTGCAGTCCCAAAAAAGTAACTTTCCACATCCCTTTAAAAAGGGTGTGTGGTGGTAGAGTAAAAAGATGAGGATGCCCTTGTCATGTTGCCATTCCTCTCAGCAAGTCCTGGTCTTTAGCTACAGGATGGTGTGAGGGCATGGGTGCACCTCAGGATGGATTTAAGGTGGCTGCAGAGGTATTACTGGCAACACACAAATGATTTTTTTTTTAAGTTGAGCTCTCCAAAGTGTGTTTAGTCTAAAGGCAGATCTGAAAATATTGACGGTTACTGGGATTAGGAGAAGAAGCAATAATAGCCTGCCTTTGAAATTCCCTGTGAGACACAGTATCATGAAGTCTTGGTGACGAGGAGGGTTGACTTCTTGGCCATCTGCTGTAGTCCTGAAGAGAAATAGCCGATCAGTCATTTTCAAATATATACTGACGAAGTAAGTATATGCAAAGCTGAATAAATACTATGGCACTACAAGAGTGCAGCAAGAAGGAAGGATGGGAGGAAGGAAGGGACAGAGGGAGGGAAGTGGAATGTAAGTACTGTGTGCAGAATTTAGCTGTCTGAAATTTTCATCATTTATAAAAAACACATTTCTTGCCCTGGCAGTAGTGGGTTGACTGGAAGGGGGGGGTTCCTTCAGGTTTACAGTTGCTAGATAAAGCTAATAGCAAAAGCTGCTACAGAAATTAAGGGATAAAAAGGATTATATGGATTAGTTCATTTGCTTCATTTAGAAAGGCTGCCTAATTCAGCTTTCCTGGTGAGTCTAAATCTCAACAGGCTAGGCAGAGAATTTTAATTCTGAAAGTATCTTCCTTGAAATGGAGGGTAGGGTCACTCACAAAAACTCTTATTCACTATGAACTAGCAAATCTGTGCTGAAAGACAAGTTGCTACTTGACGCAGTGAACACAGCTGAGTACAGAATAGTCAAAAGAAGTGTCCCTCCAGTGTATAAACATGTATCCAGGGCTTTGCCAATTAGACACACTTTGAATGCCATGCATGCCAGATTGCCTGTTTTCTGACATGCCCTGGTAGGACGCCTTAGCACACATGGCTATGGGATTGTGGTGAGTGAGTACTAGCTGGGGAGGGGGAGAGTAACTTTTGCGCCTACATATGTAGGGGATGCCCCTATTTATTTATTTATTTATTTATTTATTTATTTATTTATTTATTTATTTATTTATTCATTTATTCATTAATTCCATTTATACCCCGCCTATCTGGTCATTTTGACCTCCTTACAGGTTTTCTTATTCTACGAACAGACATCAGGGGCAGAGCAAGCAAAGTCAGGGTGCAGCTCCTTGGGGCAGCTCTGCTCTTCAGTTATATGTTGATTCAAGTGTTGATTCGAGTGTGCCTTCTGAGGAGGGCCACAGGCTTCTTTAAATGTCTTAGCATGCCATTTTGAAGCCCTCACCAGTGGGAATAATGGCTGGTGGACCACTTTGAAAGACCAAAAGGCCTTCTTCTGGGACCCAAGTCTGGTTCAAAAGTCATTTGTTGTGATTGTTAGTTTAAAATGTGACAAAGCAGGTATGTATTTCAATTTGCAAACATGGACTGCACAATTACAGTACTGAAGAAACTGAAAAGAAGACTTGCAATCGAAGAAAACTACCAATAGCTTTTAATTATGCTATAGCTACCAGGCTAACTCTTGGATTTAAAAGGCTATTAAGCTACACTGATATTTACATCGTATGCCAAAGAGCAAATCCATGTTGTTTCTGTGTTGCTCTGCAACTGAGTTTTTGCATAGAAAACAGACTCTTATATTACTTACTCTGGAGGAATTCTTAGCCATGTCTCCTCTGGAGGTAGACTGTCCTTTTCTAACGATAATGCAAGAAAAACAGACACAATAATCCATAACAAGTTTGGCTAATAGGTTTTACGACAGGTCACATGATGCAATAGTCCGAACTTGCAGAAGGCAGTGTCTTATATTTATTCTCAACCTAAGTGAGTCTTACAAGGGGTTGGGAAATAATGGATTTAAAATCTCTCTCAACTTTGGGTCCCTAGATATTCTTGGATGGCAACTCCCCCAGAAAGCCTGCCCAGCACAGCTAGTGGAGAAGACCTCTGGGATTTTTAGTCCAAGAACACCTGAAAACCCAAGGTTGGGAACCACTGTCCTAGAACTATAGAATGAATGGAGGTAATGAACACGTTCATAGTGTGAGGCACAGCTGACACTACTGTCTTGCATAAATAGCTGTAGTAACCTTTTTTTTAAATGTTACACCCCAACCCCCAAACAGGCATGCCTAGATGTACACCAAGGTCTCCCACCCTTCTATGTTGAGCCCCCCCCCCCGGGAAAATAACAGCAGCTCTAGTTTACTTTGTCTTAGCTTATAGTGTCATTGGCCTGAATACAGAAAAACAGTGAAATGGAACTCGATTCCTACCTTTTCATGCTATATAAGCCTTCTGGCTGTGATGTTGGTCTCTTCAGTTTGAGGCTGACTAGAACTTTCTGATAACCCTAGACACAAAAGAAAAACAGCACTGTTAAGTGGAAGCATTAAAAATGGTGGGAAAGCATTTTTTATTACATGAGTAAGTGAGGGCTCTTCTGGACACAGCATTTGTTCTATCTTAAGAACCAGGTATGCATTGATTTTAATGGGATTTTCCCTCAACACCCAAACAATGTTGTCTTATCTCGCTTTGTATCACTCTCCTCTTATCCTGGATTTTGTGCACTTTGTCCCACCTTCACAAGCCCTTGGTTTGTTTGTTTGTTTGTTTGTTTGTTTGTTTGTTTTTAATGCCATTTTGTACTGGGGGCAGAGTTTGTCACTGTGGTGCTTTCCTACACCTTGTAGTGCTAATAGAGAAGGAGAATCTAGCAGCATCATTTCCTGTAGTCAAGAAAGAGCCAGTAGGGCACTGGTTCCCGTGCAAAGAACAACTGTGGTAGTGATGCTGCTGAAGCACCTTAGCGCTAAATGACACTTCAGTTATGAATCCTGGTCAATCTCCCATCATCAAGTGGCAAAAAACAAGAGATGAAACAAGGTCAAACAAGTGCAGCTTCTGGAAGATCTCTTAAGGGTCACAAAGTAGGGAGAAAGCTTCCAAGTTCTCAGAACTCTTCTTAAAAGGCTTAAGCAAAACCAAGTGGAGCAAAAGGAAAGCTGAACATGAAGCTGCGACCCAAAAGTTGCAGTAAGTCCGAATGCAGGAAATATTAGACAAATTTAATTAGATCACTCTGTGATTGGTACAAAACAACTTCAGCACACAGCAAAAGCTACTGGGAACAAGAAGAATGGAAGTACTTTCTTGCAAAATGTAAAATGCAGTAGTTACTCAGATCTGGCTGCAGAACATGTGAGAAACGACCTATCCAGTTGTTCTGTAATTTGGAAACATCAACATGGTTACAGAATGCAGGTTAGCCCTGCTCCCTCCCCATCTGTATTTTGCTGATGTGAGCAGTGAAGTATCTGAAGAGAACTGCCCTGTGCCTGTGGAGGTTCTGCACACAAGCAAGAATCCTGAAGGCCTCCTGCAAACAAAACCAACTCCCACGATTTAGCCTCTCCCTCATAATTGTATCAATGTTTTTGCATTACAGAACATTAAAAAAGGCCTACGCAGAGGGCAGACTTAAAATATGCTGGTCAGGATTTGTGTTTTTTGAAAGGCTGAATGATACAGTATATCCCTTCCCAACATGTTAAATGGGCAATTAATTGTAGCCACAATCCAGCTGATAAAAATAACTGGCATGGCAGGAGGTGGGGAATCCACTCTTCGGCAACCAAATGCCACACAATATTCTCTATGGAGCTAGACTTGCCGGTGTCACTATAGTTTGCCACATTTATCAACTGCACAAAATGCCCATTTCTTTGTTTGATCTTAGTATGTGTGTGGCAATCGGCTGATCTGAATGAGTGATCACTAGTAGCACATTTTTTAAAAACCTGTCAAAAGAAGCCATGGCAGTTTAAAGGCAGCCAGAGTGTTTTTATAGGGCATAAAATTTCAGAGAATGTCAAGAGGTAACCTATAAACACAAAGACAAGATGGGAATCAAGTGATGAGCTTTCACTGAAAGAGCAGATTTTGTTGTACTGAACCATGCATGCAAAAATGTGCAATTTCAGTTTGTCTCATAGAACAGTTGACCCAAAATGACTCCAAAATGGACACATCCCAAACCTTATGCATGTTACATAAGTGAACTGCTTCTCAGGTAAATGGAACTATAATAGTTACATGCCATCAAGTCAATTCTGACTTGAGGCAAACTTTTCCAGGTTTTTCTAGGTATACAGTACTCTGAAGTGGTTTACCATTCCTTTCTTCTATGGGTGCTCTGGGACTCTGCAGCTTGCCCAAGGCTACACAGGCTGACTCTTCTCCCATGAAGCACAGTGGGGAGTTGAACTTCCAGCCTCCTGCCCTTTATCTAATTCTGGGCCTGGCCACACAGGCAAAAAACAACAACAACCTGGGATTTGACCTGTGTTAAAAAACATGCTGAATTTCACATTCACACAATGAATTCCAAAGGGCATATTTATTTTCCTCTGACTCATATTATTTTCTTTGGAAGCAAGTTAAAATAAACAGTCAACAGAGGACCATTTATTTTAGCACACTGTTTTCTTAATTGACATAAGCGCCATTGAGAACCTTACAGACACTTTAAAAAGGGAGCATTTCAATTACTTTGTAGGAATGCAGGAAACAACTCAAAAACCATGTGACTTGAGTCCGCTAAAATTAAAATGCTACATATCATGGGTTTTTTGAGAAATGCAGCATGCTCTCACTGAGATATCCAGTTGGCCTAATTAAACTATATTTAATAAAGAGAGCATTTATAATGCCTTCTTAAATAACTGAGAAAGATTAAGCAAGTAGTAACTTCTCATTAGACTCAAAATATTCAAAACATCTTTTATTTTGTTGCTAAGAAGGTTCATATGAACAAGATGACTTTAGGTGCTTACCTGCTTAATAAGGTCACTGATATCAAATTCTCTGCTTGGGATAACTGAAAAGTCAGCTTTCACTTCAGAGTATGTGTCATTAATGATTGCCAAAAACATATTCTGTTAAAAAAGAAAGAATGCTAAATCTTCAGAGAATGAACCAAGAAGCAGAGGTCTCAGATGTGATTTAATCTGAACCATTTTATTCAAAATAAATGCCAGCAGAACAATAACATATAGTAGTTCAACAATAATTAGAACTACTTATCATGTGTGACAGGTAGCAAACAAGAAGAGTGTTCATGCTAGAAACAGAGAGTATTTTGCCTATAGTTGGCATACACTAGCTTCTATTTGTTTTCCAATTCATTTATAACTAGTTATTGGCTCCTTCTAGCATCCCAACATTTGTGAGTTGAGAGCACCTGCTATTTCCCCCTAGATATGTCCCATGGCATTAAAAAAAAAAACAGCTGGTGAAGTCCACAGCTCCCTCTGACTGGTGTCCCAGATTATTTATTCATTTGTTGACTTCATTTATCAATTGCCCTATAGCATTAACTCTCTGGATGACACAGTGAAGGCTTCAGTTCCACATTTCGTTGCGAAAAGCCACAGATCAATTAAAGAGATAGTACATAGCAAACTTCAGTGCAATGTTTGTCATAATGTGAGAACAGCCACCACTACGTAATTCTTATAACTAGAAATGAAAGGTTGAGCTACTTCACTTGTGAAACTTTCTGTGCATGCAGTTGCTTAAAGTGTGCTGGTGTGCTTCTCCACAAAGTCAGGGTCTCCGACTGCTGCTTGATTACCGTGTTTCCCCAAAAATAAGACAGGGTCTTATATTAATTTTTGCTCCAAAAAACGCATTAGGGCTTATTTTCAGGGGATGTTTTATTTTTTCATGTACAACAATCCGCATTTATGCAAATACAGTCATGTCATCTTCTTCTGGTTGCTGCACAATGGTGGAGGGCAGGGTTTCACTTAACTGGAGTGAAACCCTGCCCTCCACCATTTTAGGAGTAGGTCTTATTTTCGGGGAAACAGCATACTAGAACCCATCCGTTTACAAGGAGGTGCAGCAAACCACAGTTCATCCTGACAACACTTCTATTGAAGAGCACTGTCATGTAAGGGTTTATTGGAATTCAGCCTTAGAAATACACTTATATTGAGATGCCTAACTGAAATAGTTCTCCATCTTTTTAGGGCTTAGTGACAACTCTCACAACCATCTGTGCATTTTACAAATAAGGCTTGCTCTTACTTGAGGATCTTAGTGCTGCTATTCCAATCAATACAATCAAGGCTCATCTAAGCAAACTGGCAGGGCTATATAACCAAAATTAAAAAAAAATGCTCATGTTCCCAATGCCCTTCAACGTCACCTGCTGAAACAAAGGAGATGGGCAACTTATAATGCTGAGGGTTCTACACTTAGCTCTCCACTTAGTTCAGCATAGGTGTTGTCCTCCCTCACTCCTTTTACTTTTCTTGTCCCTCAATTCTTCCTGTTTTTGCAAAGCTTAGCACTCTAGAAACTGGAGAGATGAAACTTAGCCTGAAATGCTTTGGCATCGGAACAATTCCACGCCAGTCACATAGGGAATGGGCACAAATGTCTCCCTCTAAAGAAATTCTGGCTGAGAGGCGACTAAAGTCTGTTAAAATTGCACAGAGAGACCAGTATTCACAACTGAATCCTGTGCACATCTCCTCGGAGGTAAGTCCCTTTGAGTTCTATACGTCTTATTCCCACACTATAATGCAGGATTTCACTTTAATGGAGCTAATAGTCTGTGGTGGAACGCTTCTTCCCAAGGTTGCTAAGCTTTTGGCTGATTCTACAGTAGTAGAGAAAACTCTCCTGCATGATGTCATAGCTGCTTCTGAGAGGACGAGCTACTACCCATTCATCCTCTTTCTCATAGTGATGGAGAGCTAACTTCAAAGCCTTTCTTTGGCCAATCCTAATGACATTATGTAACCATTGTTCTATCTGAACACTGTCAACTACAGTGGTGCCTCGCTTAACGAGGATAATCCGTTCCAGCGAAATCGCTGTAGAGCGAAATCCTTGTTAAGTGAAATCAAAAATCCAATTGAAACGCATTGAAAACCCATTCAATGCATTCCAATGGGCTGAAAATCTCACTGTCCAGCGAAGATCCTCAGGGGGCAGCCATTTTTGGTGCCTGTATAGCGAGAAATCCATCCAAAAACACAGCGGGGAGCCATTTTACAAAGCCGGCGGCCATTTTGAAGCAGCCAATCAGCTGTTTTTAAAACGTCGTAATACGAAGAATCAGTTCCTGAAGCAGGGAACCGATCGTCACAAAACAGATTTTGCCTATTAAGACATTGTTTAGCGATCGCAAAACAGTCATTGTATAGCGGTTTCGTCATTTAACGAGGCAATCGTTAAGCGAGGCACCACTGTATCTGTATACTGTCAACTATCTGTGAGCTTACTAAAGTATTAAAAAAGAGTTTTCCTGGGGGTGTGGCATACTAGTCGCCCATCAGGAGCACTGCTGGCAGACATCCTTATGTGTGTGGCTGACTTCTCTCTCTAAGACCATTTGCTATCCTAATTACTTGTGATCACATAAACTATCAGCCTTCTCATTTCATGACTGCGACAATAGTCTGAGAATGCAAGAGTGTGATTTCCCAGTCTAATCAGATCAGATTAGGCATCCTTCAGTCTCGAGAGACTATGGTAATGTGCTCTGAATAGAGGTCTTGGAACAGCATCTAGTGTGGCTGAGAAGGCCAATTCGAGAGTGACAATCCCCTCCACATTGAAGACAAATATTATTAATTTAATTAATTAATTTAATTTATATCCCACCCATCTAGACTGAAGTCTACTCTGAGCAGCTAACAATATACAAAAATAATAAAATAGAATAAACAACATTTACCGTATTTTTCCGTGTATAAGACGCCCCCATGTATAATACACCCCCCACTTTTCTAACCCAAAATCAAGAAATCTAAGTGGGGCTTAGTGTAGAGGGAAAGGAATCAAAGCACTGCAGGATCACTTTGATCCCTGTTTTCTCCCTTTGTGCTAAGCCCCACGGGGCTTAGCAAAAGGAGGGGGGAAAGGGATCAAAGCAATCCCGCAACTACACAATCATCTTGATCCCTTTCCCCCTTATACAGCCACGGGATTGCTGTGATTCTCCCCCCTCCTTTTGTTAAGCCCCATGGGACTTAGCAAGCAGAGGGGAAAGCAGGGATCAAAGCAATCCTGCAGCACGTTGATCCCTGCTTTCCTTTTGCTAAGGATTATCAAGTGGAGGGGAAAGCAGGGATCAAAGCTTTGCAGAAACAATTTGATCCATGCTTTCCCTTCCACTTGTTTTTGTACTCTCCTCAGCTTACTTTCATGTATAAGACGACCCTCAATTTTTAGTCTACAATTTTTAGACAAAAATATAGTCTTATACACAGAAAAATATGGTAAACCATTTAAATCCAACACGTCCCCTGTCTGGCTCCTTGATTTTGCTGGTTTCGGGACTGTCTCTTTGCCTCCCACTCTAACATTGTCACCATAAATGTTCTAAAGGTGAAGAGCTAAAAGGGCAATAACTGTACACCCAACAACCATAAACCCCAAATAAGAGGTAGGGGAGCTGGTGAGATCTACAGGAGGAGGAGGAGGAGGAAGGAACTGCTGGGGTACCAAATCAAGCTTCATATTCTCTCTCTCCTACACAAATTATGGGTCTGTATCCTGACTGACACTATATGTATGTGTTCAAGCTGATGGATGGTGTTATTTGCTATTCATGTACATAATGGCTATCTTCATCCATGCTTCCTTCTCCAGCTGTCCACCAGGGTGGCAGCACGGAAGTTAAATGATGCAGAGATGAAAACACCAGCTGCACTAGCAGAAAGGTCCACAAGTGTAACTATACTATTACCAGCATCCCTGCCAGTGGAAGCCTTAGGATATTTTGGGTGAAAGGTAGGGTCAGGTCAGAGGCATGCTTGGCTCCACTGGAGCGAACACCCTTCATCCACTAGAGAAGCCCCCAGTGAATGAAGGGCCCCAGTCTACACCAGCCTGGTCAAACCTCACATATTATAAAAGACGGAAGTTGGCCACGGCAGACAATCCACCACTTTGACAGCCTCACCCTACATATTTCAGACTGAGTTTCATATATCACTGAACTCTTTCTGAGCAGTCAGGCATGGAACTGCATCATGAATTTCTGAGGTTGGCTTTCTAATGCTTGTGGTTTGCAGGACATGAAATAATGACACAGAAATGTGAGTGAGATTGTCCAGAACTATAGACAACATCTGATATATTGTATATATATATATTGTATATTTAACCTACTCATACTTAGAGAGGCTGAACTATTTCCTACTTTTTAGTACTTTATGTTCAGTTCCAGTAATCGAAAATAGCACTTACCAGCAGTACGAAGAATACAAAGAATACAAATGTGATGAAGTAGATGGGCCCAAGAATTCGATTTGCATGCTCTATACTGGCAAAGTTAAAATCTCCTAGCACAATGCGGAACTGGGTAAAACTTGAAAGAAAACAACACAGTTTATGTGTATGAAATTCTTGTATGATCAAAGTTGCAGTTTTATTCATACTCACCTGGGAATATGATCTAGTGAACTCAGGACATCTTACTTCTAAGTAAACAGATTTAAATTTGAACTTTAAGCTGTATTATAATATAAACTTTGTTTTAATGAATTTTAAAATATCAGCCAATTGTTCTCAACCGACTGCCTGTTCTAAGCTTCCAAAGCTATTTCTATGGAAACAGGACTCAACCAATTTTGTTGTAAAAAATCCTAGAATTGCCAAACACTGCAGTGACAAGTCCACATGCAAAGCAATGACCAGTTACCAAATCAAAGCAAGCTCATTTCCAGCTTCAGAAGCTGTGAAAGTCTACAGTGGAGGTAAGTAATTTCCAGAACAGCAAGGATGAAACACGCTGTCTACCTTTTGCTCTCTCATCCTGCCCACTCTGAAAACATTTTTCTTTCAAAAAGGCTCTCCTCTTTTTTTAAGTTGAAAAAGGCCACTTCATGCCCTCTGGTGGTCGTTTTTTAATTAACAGAAAGAAAGAAAGAAAGAAAGAAAGAAAGAAAGAAAGAAAGAAAGAAAGAAAGAAAGAAAGAAAGAAAGAAAGAAAGAAAGAAAGAAACCTTGTGGTGGTGCTGGAGAACAAAGTTGGCAAATTTATCTCCTATGCCTCCAAGAGGCATAAACAGACTTTCTGAGCTGTAATGTTTAAAATATGTTAACTTCTGAGAGGGGTGAGAAGATGCTTTGGGGTATCTGGGGGCAGTGCACAACTTATGGGTTGCCCTTTGCCCATCTCTGAACAAGAGGATAATCACACAGACTTTACTACTTGAGCC